GGCAGACAACTTTGCAATTCCTCTGTAGTTTGAAATATCAGACTTACCACCCTTTTTATGAAGAGGAATAATAAAAGATTCTCTCCAAATAGTTGGAAAGATTGAGGAACCAAGTGACAGATTCAAGATTTTATATAATGGCTGTAAAAGGGAACTAGAACACTTCTTGAGAATACAACTAGGAATGTTGTCTGCTCCAGGACAGTATGAAAATTTTAATGATTTGATAGCAGAAAGTAGACAGCTATCAGTAATTATGGGAGCGTAAATAGTGGGGAAGATGAAATGCTATAAGGATAAGAGGTACTTCTAATAGAGACAGAGGAATAAGTTGACTAGAAGAAGTTGGCAAACAAGTCAGCAGCTTCAGACTCGTTGCTGGCTTTTTTGTCACCAAGGAAAAATGATGAAGGTAGAGAAGCAGTTTTACGGTTAGAGTTAACGAACTTATCGAATTGTTTAGGGTCCTGTGCAAATTGCATCTTGCATCGGGCAAGGTAATTATTATAACATCGTGAATTAAGAAGAACAAAATTCGATTTCGCTATAAAGTATTTATAGAAGTCAAGAGATAGGCCCGACTGCTTATACTTTTTAAATCATCTAGATTTAACATTTTTTAAGTTTGGTGAAAACCAAGGACGTTTTGATGGTGCAGACGATATGACACTATTTGGGATACAGACATCAAAAAGAGCAATAATAGAAAAACTTGACGGTTATGTTGATATCAACCGCACTATACAAAAAGGACCAATTAGTTGCTAATATAAGTTCATTAAGCAAAGAAAAATTTCCTTTGCGAAAGCAACGACGTGTTTTGTTAGAATTAAGTGTAGGAATAAAGGTGTGATTTGAAAATGATAGGGAGATTTCTAAAGTAGGGTGGTTGGTATCTTCAGGCACTGACACTGGTGAATACCTAGAGACTACAGCGCTACTAGGGTCAGTCACATAGACGAGATCAAGCATTTTGCTGAGGTGATTAGGTATAGAATTAATTTGAAACAAAGAAAGGTCCAACAGGCAATCCAAAAAATTCAGGTTCTGCTGAGGGCACTAAATAATTGGACTTATTGAGAAATGACCATTCTATGTTAGGCAAATTAAAATCACCTAGCACAACAAACGCATCTCTGTCATGGAGATGAGTGGAAATTCCTTTAATATAAGTTATATGTTGCATATACACCTGAATATCGGATGAGGGAGGTATATACGAGCAAGTGATGTAAAGAGCAAAAGACGGAAAAGTTACTTTTACAGCAACAAATTCAAATTATCAGAAATCGTAGGATTTAGCCACGTTTCTGAAAACGCAATAATATTAAAATCAAAAGAAAAACTGCTTAGAAATAAATTCCCGAGCTTGGACAAAAGACCCCTAACATTCTGATACAGAATATTAAGCGAAAAAGGTCGCGAGTCTAGTTTTTTGAAGCCATACTTGACGTTGGTTAATCTGTTAATCAACAGGCAGTGACGAAACTCGTTTTTTCTGCCTAAACTCATGAACAATCATATGTGGAGGCGAAAATTTTGGATCACAAATAATTGTAAAAGCCTCAGGCGGAACACTTATTTTAAACGTGGCTATTTCACGGGGCACAGCAAAACTGAACTTCGAAATAGACACACTAGCCGTCGATTTACTGGCAATATAGGCTGCTATAGATTCACAAGTGGTATCGGAAGATAATCTTGATACAAAAACTTGTCTTCTGGAAGCTATAACAGTAAGAGCCGGGGGCTGAAGCAGAGCAGCAACTGACGCACATTCTGCAGATCGTGATGAGACTGCGGGGGAAATTGCAGAAAATTTTATGGAGGAAGCTTTCTTAGGAGCTTTTGAGGCTGTCTTACTTACTGCAGGAGGTTCTATCAAAGGGGCTAAGGTGACCTGAGCAGGAAAAGGCACAGGGGAAATTTCAAACAAATTTCCAGGGGATAGATATTGAGGCTCTAACCTACGTTTGGCGGAGTCACAAACTTATATTGACTAAGCAACTGTTCTCCAGAGTCGAACTCAGTTAAAAGTTGCTTAGTTAACTTTTGCAATTTTAAAAATTTATTTCGCACGTTATTATACATACGTGAGAAATTAAATTGGATGTCAATGCATACAGGGCAGGTGAGTAAACTTTGTCGAGGTCACGACCACTTAATCCTGCACATTTAATATGCATAAAATTCTCGCACAACCAACAGTTAACAAACTGAAGTTGATCAGAATCAATTGCATCTTTAGCTGTGCAAGACTTGTTGCAGCAAAACATGGTGGGCAGAATAAATATAAGGATGAATGACCTAAATAACGTAGTTAGCGCAAAGCTTAAGAAAGCAAAAACTGAGCAAACAAAACTGAGCGGCACTAAGATGAGCTTTTAGGTACTGCGACAAACAGCAAACACAAACAATAACAGAAGGCTGAAGGAGAACAAAGTGCATTGTATTGTGATTTTCCATAACTTCCGTAGTTCTTGGAATTTCGAAATTCAAATTTGATATTTACATGTTAAGTTTCATCATCATAGGGCAATTAAGAAGAAAGTTATAGCCATAAATCCAATCTTTGCTCACGCTCTGCCCGCAGCTGTTGTTGTTGCTGCTTTCAATTAATTCTGTACTGCATACATGCACGTACATATGTATTAGACAGCTGCATGGCTTCACTCATAAGCAGGGCTGCCAGTTTCGCTTTTTTCCGAAAAGGTAGAAGTCGCACGGTGCCATATCAGGTGAATACGGCGAGTGATTAATGGTTAAAATGTGATTTTTGGTCAAATAATCGATCACAAGCGTCGATCGATTCTGAGCAATTTTTGGTCGTCAGTCAATTTGTGCGGAACAAACCGTGTACACACCCAAATGTTCGGTCAACATGCGATAAATCGATGTTTTGGAGATGGTCAACTCCATTTCCATCAATTTCAATGATGATTTCGGCTGATTTTTGCTGAATTCACGCACAGTTTTGATGGAATTTTCGGTGATCACGAATTTTGATTGGCCTACATGTTGATCGTCATTTATGCCCTGACGACCACTTTGAAAACGTTGAAACCACTCGTGCACTCTGCTACGGGATAGGCAACCATCGCCATAAACTTGTTCCATCAATTGAAACGTTTCGGTAAAAGTTTTACCAATTTTAAAACAAAATTTAATGTTGGCTCTTTGTTCGAAGCTCATTTTCGCACCGATAACACAAACATACTGACACTTAAAACGCAATAACTTCACTTCCAATCGGTGAAATGTCATGAAATTCTCACTGGACAATCCATAAAGATAGCAGATTCTAACGCATCAGTCGACATATAGATAGCGACACCAGGGGGCGCTAGATTCAAAAAGTCCTGTTTACTTTGGAACGCACCTTGTATGTAAGCAGCGCAGAGTGAAGGCAAAGCAGCTACGGGCAGTGGTTGAGCAAAGATTAACCAATCAAACTCGTATAGCGTACGCACATAAGGCATATTTGTGCAAAATTTGCATAAGCTTTTTTTCCGCTTTTTGTAATTTTTCCAACAAATATGTAAAGAAAGTGGAAACAAGGCAGCTTTATCATTATTATACTCTGTACATGAAATGTACAGAAGTATATTAGGTTTGCGGGAGCTGAAAAATGTAACAGGCAGAAGGAGGCGTGGCAGACCCCACAAAGTATATATATTCTTGAGCATGACGAGACGAGTCGATATAGCATATGTTTTATTTTTTTGATTTCCCCCCCCCCCCCCCACTTCCCCCTATGGGGGTTTTCCCGATTTTCCATTCGTATAATCGCCCATATTTCGGACACTATAAGAGCTAGGGACACCAAATTTTAGTCCCAGATGCCTTATATGAATACGCAGTAAATCCCCTGCAATTAGTGGTTTTCCATAATTCCCGTGTTTCTTGGAATTTTTCATTGAAATTCGGAAAATACCCCCAGTTAGTGATAATGAGTCTGTATGATAAGTTTCATCATTATAGGCAAATTTAACAGGAAGTTAAAGCCATATATGTATGCATGACCAAGCAGTGCCCGCAGCTGTTGTTGTTGTTACTGCTTTGCACAGGCACACGATGCATACGCACATTTCAACAGCATACATTGTAGTAGGCCGACAGTGTTGCCAATGTGGCTTTTTTCCCGTCAAATCTGGTTGTTAAAGCCTGTACCCAAAGGGGTAAAGGCTATACTAGTTTTATGCGCATGTATGTAACACACAGAAGGAGGCGTGGCAGACCCTACAAAGTATATATATTCTTGATCAGGGTGACAAGCCGAGTCGATTTATACATGTAACAGGGAGAAGGAGGCGTGGCAGACCTCCACACAGTACATATATTCTTGATCAGGGTGACAAGTCGAGTCGATAAAGCCATGACCGTCCGTCCGTCTGTCTGTATGGACGCAAGGACCTCAGAAGGTACAAGAGCATAAATAACCCAACTTGGTATCCAGATTCTCCTAAGTCCGAAAAAGGACAAGTTTGTGTTTTTTTTTCTGATACACCCACACACTCCCCCGCAATTCATGTTTTTTATAACTCCCGTAATTCTTTGAATTTTGATCTCAAATTTGGCATATACATCCAGTTTGTGGTTGTCTGTCCGTATGTCGTTATAGCATAAATAAAATCGCTGCCAATGCTGTGCCCGCAGCTTTTGTATTTGTTGCTGCTTTGGTTAAACTTTTTGCTGCATACATACACGCAGACATGATTCTTATGTAAATGTATGCTGTTGAAACTATACATGAACATGTCTCCGCTTTTGTATATGTGTTTTGAATAATTTGTATTTAATTTAATTAATATAATTTTTAAATAGTTTGTTTTTGGTTTTTTCTTTTTTGGTGGGAGGTATAGGGTATTTAAGAGTTGAGCTGCTCGACTTTACCATTCCTTTCTTGTTATTACCTGCAACGTTAAAATATTCCCTTAAATTTTTAAAATGAGAATTTTATGTAGTATATGTATGATTAGATTATCTTAAAACAAAAATGCTTGTGCGGTGAATTTACTTTAATGTTAACGCATTTATAAAACATTTGCTTCATCATTTGTGACAGTTTAGAGGCCTTTGCGATATTTTTCTCCCACAGTAAAGTCAGTCATGCCTTTCCCAGCAGTTCCGCAAGTACCGATGCCGACTCGTCCACTTACATTATCAGGCGACGCAAATATACTCTTGACTTTCATGCCCGGCTTTTTCTGGTTTTTTGTTGTAAAGTTAAGCCATTTGTTTTTATCTGACTCACGCTCTTCTTCCAAATCTTTAAAGCGCTGTTGTTTTTTCTGTTTTCGTTTCTTTAAATATTCTTTTTGGTTTGGTCTGTGACGTCTACAAAAAAAAAAGGATTATAAAAATTTTATAAATTAAATAAGCAATCGAGTTACTTGTTAGATGGGAACACCTCATTGCGGACTGTGCGCTCCCGCAGTTCTTTTATAGTCGTGGTTGAACGATTTTGATAAGCATCGAATATTACACTAACTTCTCCCTCATCGGTAATACCATCGACTGTAGCATCATAGTACTGTCCATCTTCATTCCATTTCGCTTGACATTTATCTCCAATTTTCCATATTTTCGCGGAGCTAACAAGTTTTTCGGCCTCAAGAAGAGCTGCTTCAATTTCGTCAAAATAATTTGAAGAAGCAACTTTAGATGAGGAGGGTTCTACATAGGACGATTTTCGTTGCTCCTCCAACTGAGTCTTAATCAGGTCTCTTGTTAGTTGTATAACTTCCTCAAGATCTCCTTTCAGTTTTAAAAGTTCCTCATTATATGGGTCTGTTTGCAATGCTGCTTCTACCTATGAAACAAAATATAACGTCAAAGGTAGTTATTATTTTACTGAACTAGTGGTAATGCTAAGGATTTGAAATTGGTAATATAAATACATATGTATTTATGTATATATCCTTTGTTTTCAATTATAAAATGAATGTACACAAGTAATGTACATATGTATGTATATATGTAAGTATATACATACATATGTATGTATATTATGTCTTGGTATGTAATATATGTATATAAACCAACAAGAAGTTTTAAAGTTAAGTTTATTTCGTCAATTTTTTCTTACTTGTTGTAATTGCAATTTGTAATTTTGCAAGTCGTCTGCCATGACAGATTTTTGTAAACAACTTTTATTTACTTCACGGCAAATGTTGATTAGGGAACTACTGTATTTTAAATCGATAGGCAAATAAAAAGTATTCGATAAAAAATACCAAGGGCTGCTTACACTACCTAATTTTTTTAAGCTCTCAAATTTTTTGAAACATGTTAAGTGTGTGTATGGCTGCACTACATTCACTTATAATACTATAATCAAATGCCTAGTCTTTATGATGATTCCAGCTTCGCGAAAATGTTTCAATAACTGCATAAATGTACATATATGTGTGTCAAATTAGTTTATTTTATAACTATGATCTATAAAATCCACAATTTTGTCGAAACCACATACGTGGTTTACAAGGCCACAAAATACCATATGAAAATAATAGATCAATTTAAAAAAAGTAATCATAAACTCTCCCCATGCACCGCCAGCTGCTGTTTTAGTTGTTGTTGCTGCTTTACCTCAACTCTGCTGCATATGTAAACATGTATAATCGCACTCCCGATGTATGCTTTTTAAACTATACATAAACATATGACGTACATAGGTATTATATGTATTTTATTTTATTATTTTTTATTAATTCTTGTTTGAAGTGGGACTGGGTATTTAAGTGTTCGTCCAATTCTTATCATAGGTTGTTTGCTAATTTTTCATAGACATTACAATACTTCAAATCCTGTAGCGTTGTAAACTATAATAACTTGGGAAGTGTTTTATTTAATATATTGGTCTTTTACTGTTACTGACTCGATCTACATACATCAACATACATTACAAATACATATACATATGTAAGAGTTAGTAACAGGCTGCTTATCAAATATCAATAATTAACAATTTTAACAAAAAAAAACGGACTTCAAATGGGACCACAAGGGAATCAATTCCAATAACAAAAGAATCATCGAAATCGGTTAGCGTGATATAGTTATTCGTTCATTTGTCTTGTACATACTTAATACAAATTGAAGACTTATGCTGTTTTCTCATGGATGCCATTGTCAGAACTGGACTAAATTTAAATGGTACCATTAGGGAAGCACCAGCTTTCAAGTGGTACAAGAATCAGAAACGGTTTACCCAGTCGAGTGTACCCAGGTAACAAACATAAAAAAAAAAAAAAACACGATTTGATAACCTCCTCTTTTGTTAGTCGGTTATAAATTAGTATTTTTTCTTAATTGGAATCTGGCTTTTATAAATACATTGGTACGGTTACACTTATTATTTTCTCCATGGAATGCTTGTTTTTGGACAAGACTAACATGTCGGCGCCGTTTAACTGTGAAAGCTGTGTTGAAAAAGAGAATGTCAGCCCCCATTTAAGAGTTGCAGAAGTCATACGTGGGATGTCCTCCTTATTAAACACCGGTCTAGACAATAAAGCTTTGGATACATGTATACAACTACTTGAACTCGGAGTGCATCCACGAGCACTTGCTGAAATCATTAAGCAAATCCGGGAATGTGATTCTAATAGTGGCTGTGGCTGAAACATAGATATCACATAATTTCATAAACGTCCATAACAATATTAATCATTTTAGATGTAAACTACATTTTAAAATAAAATGAATTATATAAGTAACCATTTGTCAATGCTTTGTTTCATAGAATTTGTCTACGTATGGCTCAACACTTAATCAACAAGAGAGACAAAGAACAGGAATGCGTAAAATGTATTGAAGAATGCCTAAAATATGCCTCGAATGACCCTAAGGTTCTCGTCCCACTTGCACGACTATATATGCAGCTGAATTTAGTAGAATCTTGTCGAGAAATGTGTTTGCAGATCCTACAAATCGACAGTAACAACGAAGATGCATCTGTTATGATGGCAGACCTGTCATTTAGAAAGGTATGAATATTAATTTGTGTATTTATTTTATCTATACATATACATACATATGTATATAAAACAGTCTGTCCTGACTGACTGATTGATTGGCGGTCAACGCTCAGTCCAAACGGTAAAAACTAGGAAGCTGAAATTTGGACTCAAGTATTCTTTTATAGTATAGGTTGGCGATAACAAGGGGTTCGAGCTTCAAAGGGGGGAAATAGGCTTCAAAGTTTGTATGAAAAATCTGAAACTGTATACTCTCCGAATAATTCCAAGAAAAACTATACTTTTTTTTGAATCTTGGGGCCTGAAATATTTATTTATTTATTTAATTGACAAGTAACTGTCAATGTTAAACATAAGGAAAAGAAATAACAAACAAGATATACATTCAAATATTGAAAAAAACAAGTAAAAAAGCTAAAGTCGGGTGTCCCGACTTTGAAATACTCTGTACATATGTTAACAATAATTATAGAAATTTAAAAAAAAAAGAAAATTTTAAAAAATTTGATCGATTTTACCTTTCTCGGTATTCCAACTCACGTAAAGGGTATGTAATTGCACATATACAAAGCAATTGCGTCTATGTGAGTGTATGTATGTTTATGTGCGTCTATTTGTGTCTGTGTAAGCATTTTCGCAGTCAACCAAACAGCAACATCAACAGCCGCGGGCAGCGCTTGAGCAGCGCTGCAGCAGCAAATATATTTATGGCTATAACTTCTTGTTAAATCGGTCTATCATAGTGAAACTTGACACACGGACACATAATAACCAACTGGTGGTATTTCCGAAGTTCGAAATTCCAAGAATTACGGGAGTTAGAGAAAATCGCATTTGCGGGGGAGAGGGGGGAGGGAGGTAAATTCCAAAATATACATTTTCTGCGTATTTACACAAGGCACCTGGGATTTGGTGTTCCTAGGTCTTATAGTCTCCGAGATATAGACGATTATACGAATGGAAAATCGGGAAAACCCCCATAGGGGAGAAGTGGGGGGGAAAATCAAAAAAATAAAACAAACTCGTATAGAATACACACATAACGCATCTTTGTGCAAAATTTGGTGTCTCTATCTTTTATAGTCTCTGAGATCCAGGTGTTCATACGGACGGACAGACTGACAGACGGACAGACAGACAGACAGGGCTAAATCGACTCGTCTCGTCATGCTGATCAAGAATATATATACTTTGTGGGGTCTGCCACGCCTCCTTCTGCCTGTTACATTTTTCAGCTCCCGCAAACCTAATATACTTCTGTACATTTCATGTACAGAGTATAAAGAGTAAACAGTAGAGGACCTGAATGACTACTCTGTGGGACCCTCGAAGTTACTTTAATAGCTTTTGACAGTACGACGTTAAAAATTACACGTTGTGTTCTGCCAAACAAATAACTATATATCCACACGATAAGATTTTTGGGAAATCCCAAATCAATAGCTCATGATTGACGGCGTTTCATAAATCCATGTTGAAAAGGGGAAATTATGGACCTGCAATGGTGCTGTAACTGAGAGGTCATCAGTTTTTCAAGAAGTTTGGGGGCTATCCCCCAAAGAGTTTAGAAATCCCAAAGAGACAAATTCAGACGACAATAGAGAATCTACAGCGATAAGAAAACTATTACCTTTGCGGTGTATACGATCAAGTCTGAAAATAGAATATTTTTGAATAAATATTTCAGAGTTTAACACTTTGGGTTTAAGCCACGTTTCAGTTAATATAATAACATTAGCAACGAATGATGTACTGTTTGAATAAAGCCTTTGATGTTTAGTAAGCAGTCCGCGTACATTTTGATAATGAAATATCAGGGAAGAGGAATGATTTAGTTTTTTGGAGAAGACGGTGCTTTGGAAGAAGAATTATTATTTGCATTAATGCGTTTACGCGTAAATTGGTGAGCAAATATGGGAGTTTTCCTTTAAAAAAAATGTTGGCGCGCAAAAAGAAACCGCGTCAACAGCCCTCAGTACAAACGGTCCTTTGATAGTGTAGGTTGGCGATAAGGGATTTTGGAAAATTCGAGCTCCAAAGGAGGGAAAACGAGCTCCAAAGGAGGGAAAACGAGCTCCAAAGTTTGCGATATATAAAAGAATACAAAAAAAAAAACTGCTTACTCGGTTTCTTCAAATTTGTCTTGGAGCTTAAATTATTGGAGTTTTCATATTTCTTCACTTTTTATACCCTGTACCCGTAGGGTAAAAAGGGTATATTAGGTTTGTGCAAAGTATGTAACATGCAGAAGGAAGCATCTCCGACCCCATAAAGTATATATATTCTGAATCAGCATGACGAGAGAAATCGATCTAGACATGTCCGTCCGTCTGTCCGTCCGTCTGGATGAACGCGAGGATCTCAGAAACTATAAAAGCTAGAATAACCAAAGTTGGCATCCAGATTCTCCTAGGTCCGAGAAAGGACGAGTTTATTTTATTTTTTGGAATTTTCCACCCCTTCCCCCGCTACAGAATTTCGTCAATAGCGTCCACATTTCAAATGCTACTTAAACCAAACTTTGCACACATAATTAATATATAATTGTCTACTGTTGTATAAATTTTATTCAATTCGGTCAATTCTAAGAAAAGTTATTAGCAAAACAAATTCTCCCCAGTACAACCCCCCCAAACTGCAGCAACAAGTTCGCTCTTCTTCTTCCTCTTTTTGCTGCTGCTATGGGCGCATATAACTCAGTGACGGAAGTTTACCTGGGTACAGGGTATTACACTGTCGGGCTTGCTCGACTGTAGCGTTCTCTCTTGTTTTCAAATGAAAAGTTTGTGTTATTAATGCTGTCCGATCGATGTCAAATTTGGTATCCGTAATCAACATAACTATATCTACAAATTGGCATTCAATGATTTTTGAAACATAGAAATATGTTTTTTACTTGCCATATGCAGCAATAATAAATAACTAAGAACGCAAAATACAAAAAAGGGGGCGACATCACATAATCACACTTACACAGTGACACACTCACAGACACAAACAGAGATGGGCAAAGTCGGTGCTTTTTATTGTTTGTGGCACATCGCTGCACTGCGTGGACACGAGTGCCGTGTTTCATATTCCATTTTGTGCGTGTTCGTGTTGACGCAATAAAGCACGAAAAAACACGAACGTGAAAATGCAATAGAAAGTTAAAGTTAGGAAATATTCTAAAAATTTTTTCCAGTGTTTTGCACAAAGTCTATGTTAAAACATTGTGTTATGTACATATATGTATTTTATTATTGAAAAAACCTAGGGATTTGGAGAGCATATCAAAAAAAAAAAATATGGTAAAGTTAGCATTTGCATAAAGTAAATTAATATTTTACGAAAAAGTAATATTATGTACACATATCAGTCCTTAAAATTTGACTACCATATACAAATGTACCTCTATATATATATAAAACAGTTTGTCCTGAATGATTGACTGACTGATTGGAAATTAACGCACAGCCTGAAATTTGGGACTCAAGTATCCTTTCATAGTGTAGGTGCGGAAAGATAGGATTTTTAAAATTCTTGCTTTAAAGGGGAAAACCGGCTTAAAACCAAAGTTTATTTGAAAAATCCACATTTTTTAACCGATCGACTTAAAACTTGGTTTCTAAAATCAATAAGGGAATACAAATAAAACTGCATACTATATTTATAGCCTGTATCCAAAGGGTAAAAGGCTATATTAGTTTTGTGCGAATGTATGTAACACACAGAAGGAGGCGTGGCAGACCCCACAAAGTATATATATTATTGATCAGGATGACAAGACAAGTCGATATTGCTATGCCCGTCTGTCCGTCCGTCTGTCTGTATGAGCGCAACGATCTCAGCAAGTACATTAGCTAGGATAACCAAACTTGGTATTCAGGTCCCAGGTCCCTAAGTCCCAGGCAGATCGAGTTTGGTTTTTTTGTTTTATTGATACACCCCCCCACTTCCCCGCAATTCGTGTTTTTCCTAAAATTTCGGTAATTCTTGGAATTTTGAACTCAAATTTGACATATACATCGAGCTCGTTGTTATTTGTCCGTACGCCAAGTGTCATCATGATAGGTCAAGTATGAAGAAAGTTCTAGCCATAAATAAAATCGCTGCCCATGTTCTGCTTGCAGCGCTGCCCGCAGCTGTTGTTCTTGTTGCCGCTTTGGTTCAACTTTGTGCTGCATACATACACGCATAGACTCGTGATGTAAATGTATGCTGTTGAAACTGTATATGAACATGTCTTTAATTTAATTAAATAATTTAATAAATATACTTTTTTTTTTTAATTTTTTGCTTTTTGGTGGGAGGTACAGGGTATTTAAAAGTCGCTTGCTCTTTTCTTGTTTTATACTCAGTACATGAAATGTACAAGAGTATACAGGGTGCGCCATCTTTTATGTCGGTATGCAAACACTGAATATCCTTGAAAATAAACAACCAAGTATGAGATATTTTTATTTAATTTGGTTCTGTACAATTTGTATACCCTGTACCCAAAGGGTGAAAGGGTATACTAGTTTTGTGCGAATGTATGTAACAGGCAGAAGGAGGCGTGGCAGACCCCACAAAGTATATATATTCTTGATCAGGGTGACAACCCGAGTCGATATAGCCATGTCCGTCTGTCCGTCCGTCCGTCTGTATGAACGCAAGGATCTCAGAAAGTATAAGAGCTAGAATAACCAAACTTGGTATACAGATTCTCCTGAGCCCGAGAAAGGACGAGTTTGTTCATTTTTCCCGATGCGCCCCCCCACTCCCCCCCCCCCCCTCCCCCCTATTCAAGATTTTCTATAACTCCCGTAATTCTTGGAATTTTAAACTAAAATTTTGTAGACACATCCAGTTAGTAATTATATATTTGGTATACGGATTGCATTATGATAGGTTGATCAGAAAGAATAACCATGCCCAATGCACACATACATACATATGTACAAGTACACAAACACGCATAGACACGATTCTGATGTAAATGTAAATGTATGTATGCATGTATGGAATATTTCATATTTAATTTAGTT